CAATTTAAATTAAATAAATATCAGCCTGCTCAGTCCCTGTTTATTTATAAATATAAAGTAAATAATAATATAATTATAAATAAAAAATTTATAAAGTATTCTATTTATTATTTTATTTAAAGCTCACTCTACAGAGTTGTTAGATTACTATGGAAGCTTTTATCACAGATAGTAAATATTTGATTTCAGATACTGATGCAGATTTATCCATTACAGAGACAGAAGAAGAATGATTACTAAGATTTCAAAGTGTGAAAGATTAAAAAAAGCTATAGATATTGTTATGTAGTGTAAAGTTAAAAATAATCATAAAAAAATACTTAAAAGTGTGTAAAAAAGAAGTTAGAGAGAAATCTACCATTTGTACTTTTTTTTAGCAGCAGGTTCACAACAGTTGTAGTGGAATCCAAAATGGTCTTAACTTGGGTTTTTTTTAGTTTAGTAATTCTTCGTTTAAAGAATACAGAGAAGTAAAAAAAAGATATTGAAATAAATAGCAATAAAAAGATAAAGTGTGTTTCTAAGATTTTTAATGTTGTAGATACAACTAGATCAGCTAAGAGTGTTAATTTAAAGAAAGAGTGATCAAGTGCAAAAGATAAATTTATTCTAGTAATGTTCAAAGATTTTTATCCACTTCTATTAACAAAAGATGCATTAAAAATAAAAATAAAATATACAGCACATGAAAAGATGCTATATAACATTAATATGGTTTGCACACAGAAAAAGTAGAACTAGAAGTAGGAAAATTTGGGGAGAATGTTTCAAAAAAGCTTAAGTTTAAAAAAAAAACGCTCGGTGCGGTCAAGTATCAGAAACGACATAATGAGAAACTTTTAAACAGGGGCGCTGAGAGCTTTTGCCCTGCCTGGAACAGCAACCCTGACTGGCGTCCTCATTTTTATATGATTTTTCTATATTATTAGTCAAGGACCTTAGTTTTGGTACCTTTTTTGTTTTACACCCCTGCTGATCTGAATGCTGATTAAATTTTAAGCATATATAGTGCCGAAGCTTCGGCTTCGGCAAAGTGGCTTCGGCCGAAGCTTCGGCTTCGGCAAAATTTCAGCTTCGGTACATCCCTATTTGAAAGCAGTTAGTTGAAAGCAGTTGGACATTTAAAACATTTGCAAAAGGAAATCACAAAAATTCTTGTAAAACTGTTATAGTCTTTATATCTTTAGTTATCTTTGAATTTAAAAATTATTTTACAAATAATTATTTTACATATATATATATATATTTATATATATATATATATATATATATATATATATATATATATATATATATATATATATATATATATATATATATATATATATATATATATATATATTTTATATATATATATATATATATATATATATATATATATATATATATATATATATATATATATATATATATATATATATATGTATATAATTTATAAAAAATGTTTTTATAAATTATTTTTTGTGTAGGCATAATAAACTTAGACGTTTGAAACTATTTTCCCATGTCTTCCTAAAAATCTTTCAAAGCATTAATTTTAGAAAAAAAAAATTTAAGTTACTTTAATTTATGAATAAGTTCAAAACCTCTTGCTAGCTTTTAGACATTTTATGTGAATTATACAAGAATATAAAATAACTTTATTTACTTATATAAGCATGTATTTTGGAAAAGTTTTAAAGTATTTTGTAATGATCATACGATTAATTTTTATAACTTACGATTTTTTAAAATCTTTTAAACAAACATTTTATTTTTTGAAAAAGATTTTTTTTTGTTCTAATTACGATAGGAATGAATGAGTTGAAATCATAATAATTATTAAATTTGTTAAGTGAAGCGCTTAATAATAAAGTTACAATGCTCAAATTAAAATTAAATTAAATTTTTTGTTGGCAGTTTATTTAATTTAAATTGCAGGCTCATTTTATTTATTTTTTTTTTTTACCATTTTTACGATTAGAACAGTTGTAAACCTTTTTTTAACTAGACATTAATTAGAGCATGAAATTATTAAAAATTACTATTTTAAAAAGATTACTTTTTTTTTTTAAACAATTTTTTTTTTTGCAACTTTTTTGAAAAAATAAATGTATATACAATTTAAAAATATTAAATATAGCACTTTTTAATAAATTTGATAAAAATTGTTCATTTATTAAACAATCGTTAGTAGTAATTTGTTAATTTAGAAGCGTTTTGTGTACCTTTAAAAAGATTTATTTCAAACACGATTAAAAACGTAAAAAAAAGTTTTTATTTTTTATTTTTATTACAGTGCTTATATAATTTCTTTTTTGTAAAGAATTTTTTTTGTTTCTTTTTTCTTTAGGAATTTTTTTTCGTTATTTTTTTTTTTAACTTTTTTCCTAGTTTAAGTTTAGCTTCGCATTTCTAAATTCAGCGTATTTCTGAAATGTTTAAATCCTCAAAATATATATACAATCGTGGTCAAGTTGCCAAGAAATAAAACCATCTGCGTGGTCAGCAATAGCGCTCGATCACACGCCATTCCTGTCCAAACCTATATATATATATATATATATATATATATATATATATATATATATATATATATATATATATATATATATATATATATGTATATATGTATATATATATATATATATATATATATATATATATGTATATATATATATATATATATATATATATATATATATATATATATATATATATATATATATATATATATATTATATATATATATATATATATATGTATATATATATAAATTAGGGCCCTGCGAATTGGCATTTTTAATTGCGAATCGAATCACAAATCGAATCACTAATTGAAAGAAATTTAAGTTTTTTATCTTTATTTTTATGTATACTATACAAAATATTACAAAATTCGAATGTTATTTGAACAAACTCCTTTTGTTACTTCTAGCTTAAATTAACCGTTCCGCATTTTGCTCGGAAAGACTATTGCGTTTACTGTCGATCACTCCTCCTCCCACATAGTTAACTCTTTCAGACGAACAATTTGTAGCTTGAACAGCAAGAAAATCAGTTGCAACTTTGGATAATAAAGGGAAAATGTTACATTTTTTCCAGTAGAGAATAGAACCACAATTTCTCTTCACTCTTTGTTTAGTGGAAGAACTTGTCTTAAATTCATTTGCTAAAGTTTGAACAGAAATCGGTTTTCTGTCTAAGGCATTTTTCACTTTTTTACTAAGAACCTGTGTAACAAAACATTTTTTTCTTCCACTTCCTGATTTCCTTTTGATTGTACCAGTGTCCTTATATTGTTTCACAACATTCTGCATTGTTCTCAAAGCAATCTACAACTCTTTAGAAATTTTTTTGTTTGATACAACAGAATTTTCAATGAGAAAATGCAAAAATATTTTTCGCTTCTTATCTTGATTTGATGACATTTCAATTAAAACTAATTGTTTTGATAACAGAGTTGTTGAAATTTTGAATAACACTAATACAATGACATTTTAAAATAATTAGCTACTTAAAATGATGCATGGTTTCCATAAACACCACACCAGATTTTTACTGGTACATGTCTTATTCAGAATCTTGATGGTAAAACAACTTCCAATAATGGATTATATGGGCTGTTAAATAGACAGCAAAAGCTTAAACGAAAGACAGCAAAAGCCAAACGACAGTTTTAACTTTTAAAACTGTTGTTTGGTTACTTACCTGATCATTAAATTAAAAAAAATGAATTAAAAATTATTGCTAACCTTAACTTAAAGACAATAGAATGTATAAAAAATTGGTTTTTTTAAAAGATAGAACATTATTAAAATAATGAGGTTATAATATAACTAATACCACAGTTGTCACAAATAAGAAAAATATATTTTTATATATGATAGGGCACTATGTCACAAGGCTAAAACCATTACAAATTTTTGAAAGAAAAAAACATTGGTGTCTTGGACTGGCTTAGAAATTCTCTGGATTTAAATTCATTTGAGAATGTGCTCATGCAACTGCTCAAGCGAGAAATGACCAAAAGTACAATAACAACATCAGTTGGTTGAAAACCAACTGTGTAAAACTATATGTATGTGTAAAACCATAATGAATATTTTATGAATAAATAATTCATTCAAAAACTTTTGTTTTTTAGCAATTAAAAGCTGATTGTTTTTAATAATAAATAAAAGTTTTTGTCATGGTGACAATGTAATCCCACAAATTTAATTTTGAAATGAATGAACTTTTGATCTTTAGTACGCTCTTTTATTTTACTTTAGGAAAATCATTTTTCAAAAAGATTGCATCTTTTCATATTCTTTTTGACTTTAATAAAAGTTATTTAAAAAAAACAATTAAAATAACTTAATAAAAGTTTTATTAGGTTTTAGTTATTTTTAAACTTTTATGTCTAATATTTAAAAAAATTAAAAGTAAATGTAACTTATTTAATGTAATGTATTTTTAAATATATATATATATATATATATATATATATATATATATATATATATATATATATATATATATATATATATATATACATATATATATATATATATATATATATATATATATATATATATATATATATATATATATATATGTATATATATATATATATATATATATATATATATATATATATATATATATATATATATATATATATATATATCAAGGGCTATTCTAGACTGTTTTCAACAGCATTGACTGTATTTGGGTATTTGGGCGCTGTATGCTATAAAAATAAGCAAAACTAGTGAGCAAATGTTTATCTAAATACACTATAGAAAAAAATATATATATATATATATTTCAATAATTGTCTATGATAATTATTTCATACTATATGATTTAATATTTATAATAACTTTTTAAAACATGTTTCAAAATTGAATTTTTTAAAACCAAAAAATCTCCATAAAAAAATGTAATATCAAAATAATAATATCAAAATAAATAAAAAATTGCATTTTTTGATGTTCATTAAAAGTGTTGGCAACATTAAAATTGACATAATTTTACCTTAATACGATTAACAGTTGATAGTTTTAACTTTGCTTCTTTTATTGCATCAGACTCATCAAACTTTTTTGCTTCTTCTTTAAATTTCTTTAGATTTTCCTATTAAAAAAATAACTAAGTAGCATATGGGAACAAAAAGTTGAACAAAACTTACAATAAACACTTTAAACGGTCATTTATAATGAACATTTATTATTATTTATTTTTTTTAATGTTTATACAAACAACAAACTATTATTTCAGTTCTTCCTACGTTGAACAATCCTTTAGAAAACTTAAAAAGTGGCTGAAAATACATTTAATAAAAAGTAGTTTTTTAGCTATTTCTAAATCTATTTCCTAAAGCATTAGGGTTTTAATCAAAATCATTTTGATTAAAATATTCTATTTTTTAAAATTTTATCAATAAAAAATTTAAAAAAAAATGAAAGTGAGTTTTGAAGCATTTTTAATTTTTAGAATAATTAAAAGCCTTAAAGTAAATGGTATTTATTGCTGGAGATATTTAATAAAATAATAGTCTTAAAATATTTCTTAAAATATGAAAAATACTTTTAAAACACATATTTTCAAAATAAATAGTTAATAAAACTAGAAAAAAATGTTTTGTGGATTTTTAAAAAAATTTTAAATTTTTAAAGCCTTAAAATCAGATATACAAAGAAGAGTGTCTCATCTTCTTTGTATATTTGATTAGCTGTAAAAAGCCAATTCTAAAAGATTTTTGTTTATTTTCAAAACATTGATTCTGGAAATATACGCTGGAAATACATATAGCCTGGAAATAAAGATAACCAACTTGAGAAGATACTAATTGTAATAAAATCGAGAGTTTATTGCTATATATTTATATTTTACTAATTAAACAATACTTATTACTATCCTTGGTCAAGTTTTCAATCTAAATTACAATGGGAAAAGGCAACAGCTTGACCAAAATTGAGAAAACTCAATCAAGAAAGGTTATTTCTAATTTCTTAAAGAATCCGGAGGGTTATGGAGCAAAGAAGTCAACAGGAAGACCTTCATTTTTTTGACTCAAACACGAAATAATTGCTTATTCAACAAGCTTTAAAAGAGAATCAAGTTCTAGTCAGCCTCAACATGACCTAAATCTTGAAGTTGGATCACCGATCCATGGAATCCTCCAGAATTGTGAAAACTTGAAGTACTGCAAGCTTATGGTCTCACCAATGCTCATTTAGACCCATAAGCAGAATTGTCTTCAGTAGGCAAAACAGCATGTAATCTGGGGCAAAGTCATCTTTTCGGACAAAATTTTTTATTTATTTAGATGGCTTAGATGAACTACAATGCTATTGCCACAATTTAAGGCAAAAAAAAACAATATTTTCCAAGCTTCAATCTGGTGGTGGATCTATCATGGTTTGGGGTGGTTTTAGTGTGGAAGGAAAATTGGAATCAGCCATATTTCAGGGGAAATCAAGATTCGAAAAGTAAATTGATACTCTTCTGAATATCTGCTACTCTTCACTTTGAGCTAACTTTAATTCCACTTATTTCCATATATACATAAATACATACATACATATATATATTTGAATATATATATATATATATATTTGAATATATATATATATTTGAATATATATATATATTTGAATATATATATATATATATATATATATATATATATATATATATATATATATATATATATATATATATATATATATATATATATATATATATATATATATATATATATATATATATATATATATATGAAAACTTTCGGCAAACTAAAAAAAACTGCATTTTCCTGAAAAGGATAATGATTTTGAAAAGGATAATGTTTTTAAATTTAATTTTTTTTTTTGAAAAGGATAATGCTTTTCCCCTTCAAAAAAAAAATTATTGAACCATTAACAAAAATTTACTACGAGGGAAAATGCAGTTTTTTTAGTTTCCCGAAAGTTTAATTATTGGGCTTCTGTCCTTTTAACATTCACTGATTCATTTGTAGAATACATTAAGATAATTTATATATTAAGCTCCAAGTTTATACTTGTTAGTAGTAAATAGTAATTTACATAACAAAAAAATAGAAACTAACAATTTTAATTATTCCCTAAAAAATATCCCAATCCCAGACAAAAAAAGTTATACTATTTCTTCAATTGAAAAAATAGAACACTTTATTAAAAGAATTTGTTGGAAAGCCAATTTTTCTTAGAATCTGAAACCAATAAAAATGCTTTAATTAAAAATAAACAAAAAGAAAAAATTTTGGATTCAAAACATAACGCCCCACCATTTATTCCCAAACCTAGAAAACTTTGAAAATGATTTACTACACTTGATTAGTTTATTAATTATTAAAACAATAAAACCTAATGATGAGTTATAATAAATTGCACAAAATTTTTGACACTATTTATAACATTATAATATTTTAAATTGATAAAAATAATAATTTCTAAAAGAAAAAAATACTGAAAATTGTAATTGCAAGCAAAATATTAACTGCCCTATGAATGCACAATATCACAAATATTATTTACAAATGCATTGTTTCCTTGCAAAACAACCCTGATAAACAATATATTGGCTTAACCAAGTTGAATGGAAAAAACATTACGCTAACCACAAACAATCTTTTAAACATAAAAAATATTCAAGAGACTGTGCTGTCAAAATATATTTGGCAACTAAAAGAAAATAATAATATAACAAATAAAAAAACTTTTTATAAAACCACGTTTTTGCAATGAACTAAAAAGTAGAAAATAATTTTCTCTTGTGACTATAGAAATTTTTGAAAATTAATTGAGTCGATAGTAAGTGACATGAAAACTTTTGATTATGAACTTTTAATAATTACGATAATATTTGTAAAATTTTAAACGAAAAACGTGGTGCGCATTTAACGAAAAAAAAAACAGAAGAAGAAAGCAATAGTTAAAGTAATTAAGGACGATGATGATCATTTAAAGTGACAAGATGCGCACCACGTTTTTTAAAATTTTACAAATATTATCGTAATTATTAAGAGTTCATAATCAAAAGTTTTCATGTCACTTACTATCGACTCAATTAATTTTCAAAAATTTCTATAGCCACAAGAGAAAATTATTTTCTACTTTTTAGTTCATTACAAAAACGTGGTTTTATAAAAAAAAAATTTATTTGTTATATTATTAGTTTTTTTATTTGTTATATTATTAGTTTTTGATGAGTGGAATTTTATATTTTGTAAACAACTGATTTTGTTTTTATGCTGTAGTCCATTTAAAATCACAGCGACAGTTAAATTTGGTTTTTTTGTTTGAAAATTTTTTATTTAAAGCGACGCGTCAAATTGCGGCAACGCCTCCAAAAGTTTTGCCATAATAAATTTTATTTTGCTGAAATTCTTCAAGAAACTCAGCAAATCATGGTAAAAGTAGTATAATATTGCATGATCATCGGGTTCTGAGCTACAGTAAAAGTTTCAGAGCTCTAGCTAATGGAAAAGTGGGATAAAATTGAGTTGCAAATTTCCACCCGGACAAACAAACAAACAAACAAGAAAGCGAGATAATAAAAACGTGGTAAAAAAATATTAATTTTAAATTAAACTGGCCTATTCTAAAAACTGCGCCTGCCTATAATAAAATTTTCAAAAAATGTATAATGTTTACAAGAAAATTTTGATTATTACTTATTTGGATCAAGAAAATTTATAAACAAAAAAACTGAGTTAATTTCTAAATGCATACATGAAAACAAGTTCTTTTTTTAAAAATTATAAAAACAAATGACTAGATTAAAATTATCCTAATTCTAAAGAATTCTTTTCATGATTAATTTTTTAATTTTAATGTAGTTGATGCAACTTCCTGGTTGCAAAATAACTACAGTTATTACATAATTAATTAAACCAATTCCCAATAATAATTCCCAATAATAATTCCATATAATAATAAAAAATAATTAATAAATAAATTTAAATGAAAGTTTTTAAAAAAATTTTTTTTTAAAAATATTAGGGACCCATTAAATATTTAAGGTCTTGAGGGACTCCTTAAAATATTTTTTATTCAAAATAAATTTAAATCTAGTGTTTTAGTATTAGAGAGAACACATTTAGGGGGTGGGAGCAGATTATTTTCAAAAATGTTGTTTTTTGGGACACCTTAATTTGTATGTACACATATCAATGTTGTACAGACGTAATTACAAGAAAATCCGTCTTTCAAAAAAACAGGTTGTCTGGTGCCAATAATGCCACCAAACAAAAAATTTTCTTGAAGGGCAAGTAAAAATGTTGATTTAAACTATTTGAAATAAAATTAGTAAACTGATAATTCCATTTAACTGTGTCATATTAAGCAAAAAACCTTTGTAGGAAAACTAATGCCATGTAGCTTAAATTAATTGCATAATACAAAATATTAGTTTCAGCATTAAAATGAATACACAGCTTATTAACATTGTTGCATCCTAAAACTGTTTCTTTTTCAGCGAAATAAAAAACCTTTGTTTAGAGTAAACACTGTTTAATAAAAAACCTTTGTTTAGAGTAAATACTGTTTAATAAAAACCTTTGTTTAGAGTAAACACTGTTTAATAAAAAACCTTTGTTTAGAGTAAACACTGTTTAATAAAAACCTTTGTTTAGAGTAAACACTGTTTAATAAAAACCTTTGTTTAGAGTAAACACTGTTTAATAAAAACCTTTGTTTAGAGTAAACACTGTTTAATAAAGCAACTGCTCAAGATAGTAAAAAATTAAGAGTAGACTGAGGCATGACTTAATTTTGAAGAGAAGGAATATAAGCTTCCAAGCTTTTATTCCAGAAGGAATAAAAGCTTCCAAGAAGTGCCTTATGCATACATATTATGGGTATAAACATATATTTTTACTATTTATTTAGATGCTGACAAACAATATTCTTTCATATTTATATACACTTTCATATTCATATGGTGTAGTATTTGTCAAAACAGAAGATGATCAGATGAATATGTGGTGTGACTCTAATACAACAAGAAAAGAAGACAGTCTTAAATAGATTTGAAAAAAGCGTCTTATCGGACAATGTTTGTTAGAGAAGATTAAAGTGATTTAGGTATCAGCATGTAGAGAGGTAGAAGCTTCAGGAGAAAATGGTAGTGATAGAAGTAAGAAAAGTTGAAGAGAGTGCCTTATATATGTGTATAACTGTTTATACAACCCCGACGTTGGTCCCAGCCATATTTTATCAAACCCTGCCCCAGCCCTTGCCCTGGCCAAATATTAACCCATGTTGTTTACTAGCTTATTAAGAGAAGGAGAACAGCATACTAAACTTTATTGAAAGCTTTAGAAATGTTTCATCAAATGAAAGTCATTTTCATCAAAAAAATTAATTGGCTATTATCTAAAGATAATAGCCAATGAATTAAAATATTTACAATAATTTTTTTATGATTTATTTAGTAGTTTTCAAAACTATAAAAGAAATTTTTAAATTTTTTTGGTTACATGCATATGAAAAATTATATTTATGTAAATAACAAAATAAAAAAACTCCTATTTATAAAAATATATATAAATATTTATCAAAATACAGTTACTCCAAACTCAGAAAGTTGACCTTCAAATAGATCTACTTGAGCTATTTGACATCTATTTCTAGTTGAAGCTATTTCTAAGGTTTCAAACAATCCTAGAGGTTGTTTTCCCTTGGCTAGAAATATCTTAATATAGGCTTCTACATCATCCTTAGGCTCTACATCCCATATCTATCTGATGCACAATAAAACCTATCAGTCAACAAAACAGCAATAAAACGATAAGATTGAAATCCATATTGATGATCAGAAAGTAAGTTATTTCAAGATGAAAGATTGAGTGTTTTTTAATTTAAGACTCAAAAACCTTGCTTGTGTTAGGAAGAAGACTAATGGGATCAGTAATTAGACAAGTAAGATCTCTCTCCAGAATTTTTGAAAATATGGATAACAGATGCTTTCCAGAATCTTATTTTCCAGCAGGCTGGAAAATAAGATTCTAATAAGCACTTGTTAAATAGTTTTGAAAGTATAGACTACAGCTCCAGAGAACACTTCTGCAAGACTAAAACAGGTATGTTGTCCTGACCACAAGCTGGAGAAGAGTCTAAGCAGGAAATTACTGTGGATACAGAAAGTGATACGAAAGTCAGGCAATATTTTTGTTGGCTGTTTGTTGGCTGTATCAGGTTGAACGCGACTAGTAGAATCAAGAGATTATGTTAATGAGAAGTTCTTAGCAAATAATTCGTGTCAAAGCCTTATCTTTAGGCGAGGTGACAAAATCCGAACCATAAAAAAAGAGGTGGAATAACAGATTTGCCCATATTATAAATACTGTTAAAGATTCTCCAGAAGTCACCAGAGCCTAATTTTTGAGATGAAATATGAGATTTCATAACCTGAAAATAGCGGGTTTTGGCATTAGTCTTAAAAAATAGTTCTCCAGAACTCTGTTCAATTCTCTTCAAAAAATCCCTATTTAATAAAACTAAACTATTTAATAAGTGCTTCACTAATCATAGCATCTGTGGTTTTAATTTTAAAAAACTTTGGAGAAGATTCTAACCCCAATTATGGTCCAATCAGCCTTATTACTGTTATTAGCAAGGTCTTTGAATCTTTGATAAACAAATTTCTTATATACCATCTTCAGTCTTAAGAGAGGATAGAAAACCATATTGGTTGTCTGACAGTAAAAAACTTACTGTCAGACAACCAATATGGTTTTCTATCTTCTTGCTCTACAGCTGACTTATTAGCTGCTGTGACTGAATGATTTTATTATGCATTAGATTGAGGACAGAGAGGGTAGGGCTATTGCTCTTGAAATATCTAAGGCTTTTGACAAAGTTTGGCATGCTGGTCTTCTACATAAGTTTGTTTCATATGGTGTATATGGGAAAGTTTTTGAGGTTATCAAAGCGTTTCTTACTAACTGCTTTATAAAAATCATCCTCAAAGGCCAACACTTTTCTTTATTTCCAGTAACTTCTGGGGTACCTCAAGGTTCTACCTTTGGTCCTGTTTCGTTTTTTATCTATATTAATGATTTTCCTTGCGACCTTACATCTAAAGTAGCTCTTTTAGCTGATGACTCAACTTTATACTCCTGTCTTGACAATGAGTCTTCCCTTTTTGATCGTTTAGAACAGGCAGTTGATTTTGAATTTGATTTCACTTCTGTAACAGATTGGCTCAGAGTGGCTTGTAAATTTTAACTCCAGCTATCATCTCTAGTTCCATCAACTAGACTTGTCATTCAGCAAAGTCTCATTATTTTACTGTCCCTGCATAATGTAAAAACTTTTATTGGCCTAGCTTTTTTCCCTGCATTTCATTTTTTCGAAATGCAGGGAAAAAAACTAGGCCAATAAAAGTTTCTCTCATCTTCATGTTTTCCTGTCTCATATAACCTTCAACTTTTTAAGTCTTTTGTCAAAAATTTTTTCAGGGTGGCCAGCCACTTTGTACAATTAAATTCCCTGACTTTTCCCTGACTTTTTATATTTTTCCTTGACTCAGTTATATTTTAAAGTGTGAGTTTTTAAGTTTTGTTGTTTGGGAGTAAGTAAAAAAAATCTTTAAAAAGAATTAAATTTTGAAAAAAAGATTTTTTTCCCTGACTTTTGGAAAAAAAAATCAAAAATCCCTGACTTTTCCCTGATTTCCCTGACTAGAAAAAAATTCCCTGACTTTTCCCTGACTTTTCCCTGATTTCCAGTTGACTGGCCACCATGTTCTTGCTCTATAACTCTATTCTTTTTTTCTAGTAACTCCAAACTTAATACTGTTTGCTTGCAGCCTGATGGAGTAAACCAGAATAAAATAGAAAATAAAAAAAACTGTGAGTAAAAAATAAAATTGATGATTGTTTTTTATGAATGGATGAGCTAGAAGCAGAAAAACAATTACCATTTACATATAACTATTTGATTGCTGAAACCAGTAGTAGGAGTATTAAATCTGCAACAGCAACATGAATAGAACAGCAACAACTTTTCTTAAAAATGTAACTTTGAACTGTTTATTCAAACTTTTCATGTCCCATCACTGAATAATGACACATGTAATGTATGCAAGGACACTTTTAATAAAAGTTAGTTTATATTTGCTTGATGAGAAATCCATAAAATTTGAACAAGATAATCATGCTTAATTTGACGTTTAATTACACTGATGTGAAGTGATTGTAAATCAATGAAAATGTGCTTGAAAACTTGATCAAATAGAAACTGACAACAATAATGAGAGAAATAAGTTTCTTGTTGAGTTCAACTTTTTCAGGTAAGCCTTTGAATTGTTTAAATGTGAAAATTCAATTGATACCAATTTACCTTTTGTTTTAGAATGTTTTAGTTCAATTAGCATATTCAATGATAATCAAAGTAAACCGTTGATGGGTTTCATGTGTATCTCACAAACCATGTTTCTCTCATGTCCAACTAAATTTTGCGTGTTTGAGAACATTGAGAACATATATGTCATTAATAATGCGTTATAAGTAGTTAAAATTTTCAAGATTTTTTTTATCTTTTTCAATTTTTTTATTCATTTTTTTTTTATAGCTAGTATTAAATTGGCGTTTAACTTTTTGTGGTGCTTGTTGATAAAACTGTTTTAGAAAATTAACTTTATAACTGATGTTATGTTGACTTTAATGTTGTAAACTAAAAGCAAACGCAACTAAATATATTATATATTTTAATACTCATTAGTTTATAAACTAAACAGATTTTATAATTATTTTATTATATATATATATATATATATATATATATATATATATATATATATATATATATATATATATATATATATATATATATATATATATATATATATATGTATATATATATATAAATATATATATATATATATATATATATATATATATATATATATATATATATATATATATATATATATATATATATATATATATATATATATATATATATATATATATATTATAATATATATTTAAAAAAATAAATTAAAGCGGTTTCATTTTAAATTACAATAAATTTTATACTCTAACCTCAACTTGTTAAATCTAAATAAACCTTGCTTAATTTATATTTAAAAATAACCATAGATATGAATTGCTTACAGTTAATATTATTTATGCAAAAACACATAAAAATTGTGATTTAATTTGATTTTTAATTTTTAAAGAAGATTTAAGGTTGGGTTTAGTTTTTCATACTTTTTTATGTCTTTAAAAATTCAAATTTGTAAATTGATAAATTAACTTTTACAAAATAAATAAATAGATAAAATATATATTGAAAACAAATATATATATATATATATATATATATATATATACATATATATATATATATATATATATATATATATATATATATATAAATATATATATATATATATATATATATATATATATATATATATATATATATATATATATATATATATATATATATATATATATATATATATAATTATATATATATCCAACCTGCATCTGCTTATCTCTTTTTAACCCTTCTTGTATGTTTTCAATAAAACGAGAAATTAGTCCTTTTTTTTCAGGGCGCCTTTGATAGTATCTAACCTAAATAGAAAATAAAAATATTATTAGCTAGATTAAATCACACTTCAAATAAAGAATTTAAAAAATTTAGCCAAATAAGAAAATAAAAAAAGATAAAAAATTTTGATTTTTACAGAAATATTGAATTTGAAGTTCATTTAACAGGGGGATATTGAAAACCAATATGGTCTTAATTAATGTATTAAATAAATTAAATGTATTTGGTCATGAATATCTGGTTTTTAAAAATTAAAATTTTCCATTCCAAGTTTTAAGTATTAATGATTTAACTACATTAATACTTTTATCTATGATGCAGTCTTCTCCATTTGAAATTTATCATCAGCGCACGAAAAAGCATTGGCCAGACAGTAATTATTTATCTGGCGTGCGCGATTTTAAAAAATATTTGTTTTTTGTACCTCTTTAATTAGAATTTGATTAAGAAAAAAGATTTGTTGCAATTTAAAGACACACTTGAAATTTTTTGGCAAGTACTTTAAAAAGCACCTTAGTATTGGCAGGCGTGTAGGCAAGCACAAAATTGAAAGAGCACAAAAGTGCTCGTCTAACGTAGAAGACTGATGGTGTATATATATGGTGTATACATCCTTAATTATGTGCAGCCCTCAGAATTAAGGTCTAACTGCTGACCTGTCTGAAGTTAACATTTTGTTGCTGAACTTGTTTTTATGTTGTTGTAGTGAAAAAAATTACTTTTTTAAAAATAATATTGCTTTTTTATGAAATATATCTATGATGTAGATACTTTTTTATGAAATACTTATATATACATTATGTATGTATATATTATGTAAAAGTTTTTTTGATTATTTTTCTTCAAATTTGAATTTTGAGAGGTTAAATTTAGAATTTTAGAGTTTAAGCCTTTCTTTTTTTCTTTTTTTTTTTAATAAACGATTTAAAACTAATACTTATCTATGAAAAATATTTATTGGCGAAAATCTACCATCTTCACTGTTTGTAATTTACAGCTAGCATTATTAGGCTGGCATACGCAACTTTAACACGTTCACGCCAGCGTGTACCACCAGTGGTACACACTAGACTGTCTCATTGGGCGGCGTGTACCACTGGTGGTACACACTAGACTTGTATTGGGCGGCGTGTACCACCGCTGGTACACGCCGCCCAATGAGACAGTCTAGTGTGTACCACCAGTGGTACACGCTGCCCAATGAGACAGTCTAGTGTGTACCACCGGTGGTACACGCCGGCGTGAACGTGTTAAAACATAATTTTATCTGCTATTTCAAATAAATTAAAAATGGCAAAACGATTGTTTTATTTATATTCTAAATAAAATAGTTAAATGAAAAATGAAAAAACAAATGTTTTACTTAAAATACAAAGTAATTAAAATAAATCAGTAAAACAAACATTTTATTTAAATTCTGAAAATTAAAAAGGAACTCTTTTATTAAATTTAAATTAAAAAAATACAAAAAAAAAATGTTTTATTCGAATTCCTAATAAATTAAATAAAAACAACAAAATGAATGTATTATTCAAAATTTAAATATAAACCTTTCATTTAAATTAAAAGAAAAAAAATAAGAAACGTTTTTTTTTAATTCTTAACAAACCAATTAAAAAACAAAAAAAAAATTTAAATGAAATTATTAAAACAAAATTGGAAAAACAAAGGCTTTATTTCAATTCCTTATAAAACCATTAGAATATAATAAAAAAAACAAATGTTCTGTTTAAATTTTAAATAGAAAAAAAAAAATCAAAATAAACAGAAAAACATAAAGTAATTTTATAGTAATTTTAAGTAAATTAAATTTTAATCTGCAAAACTAATGTTTTGTTTAAATTCTTAATAAATTGGTAAAAAGTTGCGTTGGCTTTTAAAAGAAAAGCTTGCAAACTCTGCTTACGTTAGCATATACAAATGATTTTTATGTCTACTATATATTTATAAACATGAGCAAAATATTGGTTGTTAGGGCATTCTCTACTTTTAAAACTTAATGTTTTTTTCCAGGTATTTTTTGCTTAATCTTTAGGTAGTGGGCACCACTACCTAATATTTGATAGCTCTACTGCTACCTTCTGCTTATTTTGCAACCAGAAACCAAGTTGAAGAAAAATCTTTTTATCTTACATTAGATAGAGGCAGAGAGACTAGCGTTATTGCTTTTGACATACCTAAGGCTTTTGACAAAGTTTGGCATGCTTCTCCATTAGCTTGTTTCATATGATGTATGAGGCTTGGAGAGGAATGGCGTGCGATCGAACGCTATTGCTGACCACGGAAATAATTTTTTTTTTTTTTGACAACTTGACTACGACTGTTTAGATGATTTAAACATTTCAGAAATGATGAAAAAAGAAACGCTAAGCTAAACAGTTTAGCTTAGTGTTATTAAGTCTTTTTTTCAAGTCTGAAAACTTGTCTGAAAAGTTTATAAAAAATAATATTTAAAAGTTTTTATTGGCAAAAATGGATTTCATTGTTATATATTTTGACTGAAAACAATAAAAAAAGTTCTTAAACCCATAAACTTTTTGATAAAATTAACAAGCAGAAAACAAAGTATTAAAATTGATCAATTTATTCTAAACTTATAAAGGTCAAAATAAGGATCCTCTGTTTATTCATTTTGTAGCTTTTTCTTTACTTATTTTCCAAAATGCTCTAGAATCAATCAATATGGTATAAATTTTCTATTTTATACAAATTCACTTTCAAAAAGGTTGCAAGCAACAACTATTTAAGTTAAGAGTTAACATTAGGGAGTTAACATTAGGGAGTTAACAGAAAGAAAAGAAGAGAGTTAACGAACAAAAAAATGATAAAAAAACTTAAAACCCTGCATATAATTGAAGTGTGTGAGCAAAGCATACAATTTCTTTTTGAGAAATATCATACGTATATTTTTTAATAAAAAATTTTTAAACTCATTTTAACACCATATCATATAGACCTTTTTCCTTGGCTGGTAGACTAAAAAAAATAGAATTAATTTTAAAAAGTTTAAGTGTTTATATGATTGTTACACAAAGTTGGACAGATGAAATAATTAGTTGAAAAAATTGGTGTAAATCATTAGTATTTTGTATTTTTAACTTATATACTGTATTAAACTTATATATGCAGCATTCTGATGTGAAATGTTGTGGTTCATATCTTTGCTCTTCCACTTTTTTTTAAAAAAATCTTTTTCTATTTTTTAAAATACAAAATAAAACATTTTTGAAGTTCTACAGAAATTTTTACTTTTGTAAAGTTTTTCTTTTATTAAAAAATTACGTAGCGGCAATATCTCCTTAATTTTGATTTATAGCATTTATTTGCCATTTTATAAAATTATTCCATCTTTTGCCTATTAAATAGTATTAAAAGGTGGCAGATTAGTGTCTTAGTGGGGCATTTTTAAAAATCAGGCACAGAAATTTGTATATGTCTTGTCTATTGTTTTCATAAAAATAAAGTGGCGATCTCTAACTACTACCATTTAATTCTAATCTATATAAATATTTTGTAAACAAAAAATGGTATACATTAAAAATGTTATCGATGGATAATTTAAGAATAAATTAAGTTGAAGCGGAATTGCGCACAAAATAGAAAAACGCAAAATTACAAGATGAATAAACTTGAATTCCTCACAAAATATAAGTTTCAGCAATATAATTTTTTTTAGAATAATATTTCAGATACTGATATAAATTTCAAGAAAGTTATGGAATTATTAGAGTTCATGAATGATCAGGCACGAAACTTGTCAATTTGTCAATTATATATAGTTACTTTATGAAAATAATTTGCTTATGAGTATTTCAAGTGAAATATTTCTATAAGGATTCTCCTTTCTTATCAATGAGAAATGGCAGTCATCAAATATTTCTAGTTATAATATGTTATGAAAATTATTGTTTATTTTTCATATTGCAACAATAATATACAAAAAGAAAAAAAAAAAAAAGATGAAGATATATATTTAATTTATTTAGTCTAAAATATGATAAAAATTTTTTAGCATAGTTATTCATTAAGAAAATCATAATAGTATATAAAACGCCCAGTGGCCAAAGTATTTAACTCTCTGCCCTTTCAAAGCAGAGTGCGAGGGTTTAAACCCTCTAGCTTGCACATTAATTTTATGAAACTTATATATGCAGCATTCTGACGTGAAATGTTGTGGTTCATATCTTTGCTCTTCCACATTTTTTTTTTTATCTTTTCCAATTTTTTAAAATACAAAATATAGCATTTTTTAAATTTTAGTGTTATATACATAAAATTCCAGATGTTATATACATAACATATATAAAAATATTATATACTATAACAAACAAAAAAGAGAGTTTTTAAAAAAAGCCTAAAATTCATAACACCTATCACATATAATGATATATACAATTAAGTTATTAATATGCTCAGATTAATTAGTTGAAGTCTGCGCATTTAACACACATTAAAGAGGGAACTTTATTTCTTATAAGAAAAAAGATTTTAAAATAAATAAGTTTTTTTTTTTGTTTTTATAAAATTTTTTCTAGACCATCTGCAGCTTATTAGGACTCTTGCCCTATATTAATTAACTTTGAAGAAAATATAAACTTGAACTATCTAAATACAATTCAAGTCTCCGTTGTTTTTTTTTTTTTTTTTTTTTTTTTTTTATAGAAGTTTACAGTTTTACAATAAGAAGTTATAAAGTATTGAAAAAAATGAAAATAGAATAAATTGAAAAAGTATTGAAAAAAATGAAAATAAAAATCTGTCAAAATAAAGATTTAACGGATTTTTATTTTCTACCACATACTAAAAATTAATAAAAAAAACGACTACATACTGAATGAGTATAGAAAGGGTCAGTGTGTAATAAACTTACCATGACCTATATTATACAGGTCATGGTAAGTTTACTATTCCATATACTTTTAAGTCTAATTCCAAATGTTTTTTAAACTTTTTATACACATTTCAAATGGATGTTTTATATATTATTTAGAATAGTCGCTTTGGGTATAATACTTGAACTGCT